ATGAGCAGCTGCCAGGCACTGTGCTAAGTTCCCCATGTTATGAATGAGACAGTTGAGGCTCAGAGAGGCTAAGTAACTTGGCCAAGGTCACACAGCTGGCTGATGGCAGTAACCCTGGGTCTTTGGACACCACAGCCCATGCTGAGAGCCAGTTGGCTTCATGACTGTGGCCCCTGTGATAACCCAACCCCAAGGAAGCTGCAGCCTTGCTCCATAGCCCCTCCCAGGTACCCTCCCCAGCCTGCAGCATGACAGTTGTGCAGAGCTGTCTCTGTGAGGTCCCCTTGTTTTTTGGACAAGCCATAGGGAGAAATGTGACTACTCACCTGAGAGGGCCTCCACCTTCCTCCTGGAGCCACCTGGAGTCACCACACCAGGCAGCTCATCCCTGCCTGGTGACCCAATGTACACAGAGGGCAGAGCCTGGTCCTAAGTCACACAGCATGGGAGTGACACAGCCAGAACCGGAACGCAGGTCAGCCCTGCCCTGCCCTGCCCTGCCATACAAGAAAGGTGGCCTGCCTGTACCTTGTCAGGGAACCCCAAAGCGTTGCCACGATTCCAGCTCCCACATCTACAGCTTGTTCATCTCTATGATTCCATCCCCACCACTGCAACCCCGGGATCCTAGGGCAAGGTCCAGAACAAGGCTGGACAAATATGTGAAAGAATTCTTCAACTCCTCCGACACTGGGTTATTACAGCGTTGAATGTGGACTCATAAAATAAGGATGTTCAGTGTGTCTAAATTCTGTGACACCTTGAGGTCCCTCATGAATGGGAGGCTCCGCAGTGAGAATCAGGCTTCTTTGAATTCGGGTTGTCACATGTACCAGCTGTGGGACACCAGACAAGTTGCTTAACCTCTCTGAGCCTGTTACCTCACCGGTAAGCTGATTCTTTCCTGGCAGAGGGTGAAAGTGATAAAACGGAAGTAATAAAACCTACCGTACAGGTCATAGGGTGAATGAAATCAGAGGGAAAAGCACCTGCAGATAAGGATAGAAGCACAGCAACCCTAAAACGCACCAGGACCTGTTTCTGTACGGATATTGTGCAGGCTTGTCCTGAAGCCAGACCACCTGGGTTCAAGGCCTGGCTCAGTCGCTCACTAGCTGTGTGACTTAAGGCACATCCGTTGAGCGCTCTGGTCCTCAGTTTCCTTACCTGCAAAATGGAGGTGATGATATGAGCTACGTCATGGGGTTGTGACGAGAATGAAATGAACTTCTCCATGTAAAGTGATTAGTGCAGTGCAGGACCTGCCAGCTGTCAACAACATCAATAACGCTAAGAAGAAACAGATCCGGCGAGAAGCGGCTCAGCCGCAGCCACCCTGCTGAACTCCACGCTTCGTCCACGATCACACATAAACCCACCACTGTGGTTCGAGACCAGCCACCCGCGGAGAGTGAGCCAGGCTGAGCACGGGCTCCCGAGACAGCTGGCATGTTGGGGTTCCTGTCCTTGAGCCAGGCCCGGCCTAGGGATCTGTTATCAGCACCACAGTTAGTGCCTCAAAAGGGGCGTGCCCCTGTTGGTCCGTATTGGCTGCGGCTGCTTTTGCCCATGCTGGGTAGTAAGCAGAGAGAGGCCTGGGAAGAGAGTGGGGGTGGGGAGAGGAAGGGCAGCGGCTGCTCAGGAGGGGCGTCCCCACGACCGCAGCTGCACCCAGGTGTGGGCCCCATCCTGTTAGAGGTTCAGCCTCCGAGAGGGCCCCCCCATACCCTGCTCTGGATGGCCAAGTCCCTTGACTAAAATCACAGGGACCCAGTGGCAGTTCTAGATGCCAGGGGTTGTTTATTTACAAGCCACGGATCCGTTCAGCAGAGAAGAATAATGATGTCCACAGTCAGCCTTCCCCAGGACAGAATCCAATTCTGGTTAAGAGCTTGGGAACAGGTTTCTGTACCCCTCTGGAATTATGATCCCTTTTGAAGGCTTGGGGCAAACTTCTGCAAGGGGTTTCTGTAATATGGTTCAAAGAATGAGGATTTTGATCCCAGATGCACTTGCCTCTACCACTTACTATTCGTGTGCCCTTGGACCAATAACCACCTCAGTCTCCTCATCTGTAAAATGGGCATAATAACAGTTCCTCCTCATATCTGTGCTAAGTGAGATAGAGCATGCAAGGCCTTCCTCCGAGAAAATTCTCTTCCCAGAAAGAGTGGGCAGCAGATCAGTGATTCTTCAGGCATCCGTGTGTGGGCTGGGAGCATTTCTTCTAGTGTCAGGCTAGAAGTGGGGGCCTGCTGGCCGTCACTTGCTACTGGTGCTCAGCAGCAAGACAAGAGCAATTTCCTGGGAAGCGAAAGCATCACTGGAGCTTTGCGTGATGAGTAGGGCTGTCCTGATTATGTGGCATGGCTTCAGCGTCCAGCAGGTAAGGGGTTCTGTGTGACCCTCCCTGATGCTTTGGGGTCCTGGGGTTCAGGCACAGCTCACTTCTAAAGCTGTGACAGCTGAAGTGATCCTTGCACTGTGGAGCAGGCAGGCCATGGAGGATGGAGGGAGCAGGTCAGGCACTCAACAGGTATCCTGGGAGTCAGAGCTAAATTCAAGCGCTGACTCCACTGTGTGACTTTGGGCAAGACTTACTCTCCCTGAGCCTGCTTCCTCTTTTGGAAAACAGTGTGACTTATGGCCCTGGAAAAGTTCATCGGAGTCTGTGACCAGCTTGACAGAGGACCGAGCATTTTCCTTCCATCCCAGAGGACAGGGGGCCCTTTCCAACCCAGCTCTGGGTACCAGGGCCACTGGACCACTGAGGATGGAAGCCTGAGAGCTCTGGAGGGGCCCCCTGGGTAGCAGGCTGAGCACCAGGACCATGTCTCTCGTGTGTGAGCTGAGGGTGAACTTGAACACCATAGCCTGAGCCTGCAGCCCTGCCCTAGCCGGCTCCTTCTCCCTCAACAGAGGGTCTTATAGAAGGCAGGCTGTTCTCTCCAAGGGCGGGGGCATGCGGATGGGGAGACTGACAAGCTCAGGGTCATAAAAGGAGAAGCGGGAAGCCTCTGATGGCCCAGGATCATCTCAGAGAGGAGGCCGGGGCGGGAACAATCCCTTAAAACCCTGAACTTAGGACTCTGCTCATATTTGTTCCTTGTTAGCTGTGCCTGAGTCCCTTTAGAATAAACAGGGTGGTTATCCTTATGGGGGGGAGGGGAGCCTGTACAGTAATGGGGGCAGGGACTCCTGCGAGGACAGGACAGCCGCCGGCTAAGGAGGAAAGGAGGGGACCCCGCCCAGGCCCGTGGGAGGCACGGGAGGTCAGAAGCCAGTTGGGCCCTGAGAAGTGCTCCACAGCCAAACACTTGCCAGTAACCTGCGGTCCCCCGGGGCCTCTCACAAGCCCCCTGCTCTGGTGCCATGAGGCTGAGCCCATTGGACCCCTCAGGGGATTCCAGTGCCATGACTGACCGGATGAGTTGCCCCCCCACCAGACTCATGAGGGAGAAGGAAATAGGGATGCACCCGTCATGCGTTGGCAAGCTTTCTGGCCTGGGCAGGCGGCGGAAGGACTGGCCACCCTCTAACTCTCATTTCAAAGACAGTGTGCTTAGCTCTGGAGAGTATTACTCCAGTTAGGGACCTCAAAGAGACAGGGAAAGAATCCTCACCTGAGAGTACTGTGTCTGTTGATTTTATCTGTCAAGAGGGCCAGGCTCCAGCCCCATTTATTCAATCCAACTCTAACCCAGGTGTATTGCTGTGACGGTGTTTTGTAGCTGTGGTTAACATCTACTGTCAGTTGACTTTAAGGGAAGGGATTACCCTTGATGTGGGTGAGCCTCAGCCAGGCAGCTGAAGGCCTTCAGAGCAAAACTGAGGTTTCTCTGAAAAAGAAAAGAAATTCTGCCGATGGTAAAGCGTCAGCTCCTGACCCAGCGTTTCCAGCTTGCAGGCCACCCCGCGCCCCCTGCAGATTTCAGACTTACCCAGCCAGACCCCACAACCATGTGAGCCAATTCTTTGAAATTAATCCGTTTTCCTGATAGGACCCTGCTGACACCAGGAGGAAGTGGATGTCCATACCTCTCACATGCATTCCTTCTCTGGGTGCTGACTTGGAGCCTGTGTTGTCCCAGACTCTGTGCTGGACCCTAGGACTGTCACAGACACCTTGCAGAGCTGTGGGAAACACTGATGTTGACAATCTGGTTATACATGGGGATTGGTGCGTTCGTGGTGTACTATAACTTGGGTTATAGCACACTGCTTCGTGGGAGCGGATCATGGACTGTTCTTCCTGACTCCACATTCAATGATGTCATACCGCAGCTTGAAATCAGCTGTGGCGGAAGTGGTTACACCATGGAAATTGGCAAACAGCAAATCAGTGCTTCGCCCCGCAATGGCAGCACACCATTGGCTATGAGAATATAGCAAGGAATCGACTCAGACTGGGGGAGCCAGAGAAGGCTTCTGAGTGACGCCCAAAGGCTAACCAGGACTGTGCACAGTGGCTTATGCCTATAATCCCAGCATTTCGGGAAGACAAGGTGAGAGGATTGCATGAGGCCAGGAGTTCAAGACCAGCTTGGGCAACATAGCAAGAGGTCTCTATTTAAAAAACAAAAATAAAGATTAGCTGGGTGTGGTGAGTTGTATTTGTAGTCCCAGCCACTCGAGAGGCTGAGGTGGGAGGATTGCTTGAGCCCAGGAGTGCCAGGCTGCAGTGAGCCATGATTGGGCCACTGTACTCCAGCCTAGGTGACAGAGTGAGGCCCTGCCTCAAGAAAAAGCACAGACTAACCAGGCCTTAGGTAGATTTGGAGAAAAGGCAAAGGCAGCCAGGCAGAGAGAACAGCATGTGGGGAGGCCCTAAGGAGAAAAAGGGCCCTGTTTTGCCACCATCTTACTTGTCTGGGTTTCTCATCCAATCAGGGGCTTGTGGAGGGGCGCATGTGTCTTGTTCATCTCTGTCTGCTGTGCCCAGTGCCCAAGTGGGGGCTCATGGAGGGGGACAACATTTATCTTGCTCATCTCTTTGCTGTGCCCAGCACCCAATTGGGGCTCATGGAGGGGGACAGATATCTTTCTCATCTCTCTGTCTGCTGAGTGCAGCATCTGGCCGGGGGCTGTAGGGGGGATCTCTGTGTTTGCTGTGCCCAGCACAGTCACTCTGTGAGCTCTGTGACCTCAGGCTCATCACAGGTGAGTTTTCTTATCTGGAAAGTGGAGAGAGTGGGAGCAGGGAAGGAAGGGAAGGGAGTTCTGGAAGGTCAAGGTAGGGAGTGCAGATTCCTTTCTAAGTTCAGGAGGAAGCTAGAAGGCAGACAGGAGTGGATTGCTGTTCTATAACATCGGGCTGCTGTGAGGGGAGTGGCAGCACGACGGCAGCTAAAACGTGGGGGCAGCGTCCCGGGGGGGGGAGACGGTGGCCTGGGCCAGGCTGCCAGTGACAGGAGTGAACAGAAGTGGGTGAATTAGAGGTACAACTGGTGGGGTTTGCGGATGAGAAAGAGGGCAATGGAGGATGACACCCATGTTTCTGGTATAAGATATTGAAGCATAGTGGCACGTTGACAGATGGGGAGAATGTTGGGGGCCAGGTGTCAGAGGATAGCTCCAAATGGGATGTGAAAGTCTAAATGCACTTCTGCTTGGCTCTACCAGACAGACATCCTTGAGCTACTGATCACTGGATTATGATCAGGAACAACTAACCTACCTCTTTGCTCTGCCCTACCTAAGTCTGGCCTCGAACATGCAGATCACCTCATAGCCCAAGATAACTGCTGGAGCACCAACCATCATATCTTCATCCCACGTGGAATGCAGAAGGAAGAAGAAATGGGTAAAAAGAGCTTTCATCAGCTGTGTCCTCCTTATTGAGCTTTTCACAAAGCACCCTCATCGACTTCTCCCATGTCTCATTGATTAGAATACAGTCACATGCCACATCTGGCTGCAAGGGAGATTGGGAAATATAGTCTTCGGCCAGACACACTTCTGCCCAGAATAAAAGCAAGGTTTCACTGGAAGGGAAGGAGGGAGAAACACATAGCATGGCAGCCACAATCTCTGGTACACCGTCTCTTACTGTTCTCTTCTCCGCTTACCAATCTCCCACACCCCTCTGTGTTGTATACAACAAAATTCAGACTCCTTGATATGACCTTCAGGCCCTTGGCTCTGACCTCTACTGCCCCAGCCGACACCCCCCAGGCTTCTGTCTCCTTTGTCCTTGTATTCAGCCCAGACATGATTCCCCCTGGGTGAAAGGCGCAGAGTCACCCCGTGTCTCCTCTGCCAAGACGTTCTGAAGGAATAGTTATTGTGGTGCTTTCTAGAGCCGTGCGTGATCCTGGGAATTATTAGCAACACTTAGAAACCAGTTTTGTTCATTGCAGTGCAGTTGCCACCACTATCCCTGCAAGGGCCTCCTCCTGCAGAGCCAGGCAGCTCCGAGTCGCTGTGGTGGGCCTCGCTAAGCCATGATCCCTGGCAGGGAGGAGCTGCTGGCTGCGTGGTCCCGGGTGAGAGACTGAAGTGAGTACACGTTGGTGTCAGATAGTTCTAGGAAGCAAACGAAAAGGAATGTTTTGAGGTTTGTTTGTTTGTTTTGTTTTTACTTATTTTGAGACAGGGTCTCACTGTTTCACTTAGGCTGGGTATGGTGTTGGCTCACTGCAGCCTCCACTTCCTGGGCTTAAGCAATTCTCCCACCTCAGCCTCCCAAGTAACTGGAACCACAGGTGCATGCCACCATGTCTAACTTATTTGTTTATGTATTTATTTAAGAAATGGGGTCTCACTTTGTTGCCCAGGCTAGTCTTGAACTCCTGGGCTCAAGTGATCCTCCAGCCTCAGCCTCCTAAAGTGCTGGGATTACAGATGTTAGCCACCACACCTGGCCAAAAAGGAATGTTTTGAAGATTGATATAGCCAAGGCAAGCCACAGGATCAGGGAGGTCGGGCACAGGCAGAGAGCCCTGGGGAGCCGGCTGGGGCTTGCTTAGCTGTCATCAGGCCCTCACCCCCATTTCATGGGTGGGGGTGATGCAGTCCAGAGAGAAACAGAGGGAGGGGACTGATGCCCAAGTGCCCCTGTCTACCGGACACTGAGCAGAGGCTTCTAGGCCCATGGAGCTCTAGGAGGTTAGGTGATTATTCTATTTTATGAATGGAGAAACTGAGGCTCAGAAAAAATTAAACCTGTGTGAGGCCACAGGGCTGACTCCTCTTTTTTCCAACACTTCATTTCCTATTGTCTCATTGCCTCTTGCTTTTGTCCGTGTGTCCTTCCTTCCTCTTCCTGCCCCCCACCATCTCTCTCTCTCTCTCTCTCTCTCTCTCTCTCTGTCTCTGTCTCTCTCGGTATAATTACATGGTGTAAAATGCAGTTGCATCAAATGTGTTCACTCCTGTGGCCACCACTCCAATGAAGACATAGAACATTCCCACGCCCAGAGTGCTCCCTCACACCCCTTCGCAGCCGACCCCTCCAGAAGGCAAGTCCTGTTCGGATTCCTAACCTCATAGATTTGTTTTTGGCTGTTTCTGGGTTTTTGTTGTTTGTTTGTTTGTTTTGAGACAGAGTCTCCTCTGTTGCCCGGACTGGAGTGCAATGGCGAGATCTCGGCTCACTACAACTTCCGCCTCCAGGGTTCAAGAGATTCTCCTGCCTCAGCCTCCTGAGTAGCTGGGATTACAGGTGCCTGCTCCCAGGTCTGACTAATTTTTGTATTTTTAGTAGAGACGGGGCTTAGTCATGTTGGCCAGGGTAGTCTCAAACCCCTGAACTCAAGTGACCCGCTCACCTCGGCCTCCCGAAGTGCTGAGATTACAGGCGTGAGCCCCCGCACCAGGCCTGTTTCTGAACATATGTGTGGGTTCAACCTGGCTCTTTTTGTTTGTTTGTTTAACTACAGCAAGTTAGAAGAGAGGCACAGAGAGGCAGTGGGTGAGGCAGGTCTCCTGGCTATGGGACAGCATTTCCGTGCCGTGTCCCCTGTCCTCGTCGCACTGTGGCTCACCACCCTGCCTCCTCCCTCTGTGCAGGTCACTGACCCACTTTCTCTCTGCAAAGCCTTCCCTGGCCCACAGGCTGGGCGCTTCCTCCCCTGGAACTGTCCTTCATAGCCTTCGGCACGATCGTGATGAGATCACTGGTCATGTGGTTATGTCTTCAGCACCTGCGTCCCCCACCGGAGGCGGGCTCCCAGGGCCAGGCCTGGTGTGGCATTCGCTTCGTAGTCCCAGGCGACGCTTGCCCCGGCGCTCCTGTGTGCTCAGGAGAGACCTGTTAAGCACAGGATTTGGGGAGTAGTGCGTATGGATGTCTGAACAAGCGTTGTGCTTGTGGGAGAGAGGAAAAGGGGCTGTGGTGAGGGGTGTAGGCCAAGGGACACCAAGGAACAAGGGCGGCCACGTGCAGCTGGCCTGGGAGGGTCAGGGGCTGAGACCCAGGTTGGGGAGACGGCGCCCGGTGCCAGTCACTTGCTCTGCCTGCACGCGCCCTCACTATCCTGTATAGGTGCCTTGGGAGGAAGGGACCTCCATCATCTCCTCTTAGAGAAACTAGAGAGGTGTTTCAGTCCGTTCGGGCTGTTAACAGAAGACCACAGACTCAGACAGCAGAAGTTTATTCCTCGGAATTCTGGACGCTGGAAGTCCAAAATCAAGGCGCTGGCAGTTTCGGTGTCACTGAGGCCCCGAGTCCTGGTTCACAGAGGGGCCTTCCTGCTGGGTCCTCCTCATCCCGGAGAAGGTGCAAGGGAACATTTTGGGGTCTGTTTTATGACGGCACCAATCCCATTCATGAGGCTTCCCCTCTCATAACCAAATTACCTCCCAAAGGCCCCACCTCCTAACACCATCGTCTTGGGAGTTAAGATTCCAACATAAGAATTTTGGGGAACACAGACATTCAGACCATAGCAAGAGGCCATGCGGCTTCCCCCAGCCCACACGAGGCAAGCTGTCTCGGCATTTTTCAGTTGAAGCAGTCAGGAGCCCGCCTGGTCAAGAGGCAGGGACCCAGAACCCGCATCTCACAGCAACAAGGATGGAAGATTTCAGAGCCATGCTTTAAAACCACTGTAGCACATCAGAGCAGTAAAAAATACCTGACATGCACTGAGTGCTTACTCAGAGCCAGGCGCTGTGGGTAACTTGATGTAAAAGATACATTCTTAGTTAACATTTACATAAATGGACGTAAAAGCGAGACCGTGCACGTAAATGTCTCAGAGGCTGTGCCTGCTCTACTAGACAGGCTGGTCACAATGCCATCATGGTTTGGGAGCCCGCTTCACCCCTGCACCTACCCTCCCTGTGCTCGGCCCACCCCCAGAAGCTGGCCGGTTGCTGGACACTTCCACCCGCATGAGGCCTCCGGGCGGCTCTGTTCCAGATGGCCCCTGAGGGCTGCGAGGCTCCTCTGCCCGCCTCCCCGCTGGCTGCCAGGCCGGGGCCCCCAGCTCAGCCTCAGGAAGCCTGTGAAGGCAGTCAGTGCGTTTCTGCAGCAGGAAATGCAGCCAGTGCAGAAATGCGAGCCTCAGCGCCCTAAGGTGGGGGAGAAGGGGGACGTGATGATGGTCCCGGCTGCATGGTGACAGCAGATAACCACCATTGCCCTGGGGGACAGAGCCACCTTTGTCCTCCGCCTGCCGGCACTGGTGACACGGAGTTCCTTCATTGGAGTGAGGCCGGGGCTGCAGGCCAGAGGGGAACAGTTTCCCTGCTCTGTTGGGGGTGAGTGGGTGAAAGAATGGGAGGGCGGGATGTTAAGGGCCACGTGGAGGTTACTTTATGAGATCCCCATCCACAGACAGTTGAGAGACAAGATAGAGCCATTGGCATCTGGGACTGGAAGGGTTGTGGATGAAGAAGCGCACCTAGGGATGCTGGGTGTCGTCAGCCCAGCCCTCTCCTCCAGATGGGGAAGCTGAAGTCAGGAGACAAAAAGGACTCTTCCGAGGTCACACGCATGAGGCCAGGCTGGCACGCGTTGGTCTGGCCTGCACCCAGGACCCTGCACTGTTTTGAACTGTCTTCCACGTTGCAAGCCCACCAGTTTGAGGCCCAAAGCAGAAAGTGATAGGGTCAGGGGAAGGTGGCTGTAAATGCTGAGCATGGAGCAGCTTCTCTGGACTAGCACTGTGGGTACTTACTGAATTCTAACAACCACCGTGCGATGGACAGATGCGCTCTCGCCCCGTTCTACAGAGGCAGAGAGAGGGTAGCTGAGGCCACTCACATGCAGTGTGGGTGAGGCTGGTGTGTGACGTCAGGTAGGGGTTGGGGCCAGCAGACGGTGGGCCTGGAGGGCCGGGGGAGACCGGATAGCAGCACGCTTGGAATGCCCAGCCTGGGTGGAACTATGGAGGGCTTTGATCAGAGAAGACTCAGGCTCAGGCTTGGGAAAGGCCCCTCGGCATCTGGGGGATGAAGTGGGAGGAACAAGCTGAGGACCTGCTGGGAGGCAGGTGCCATGGCCCAGGAGGGCTGCGATGAGGTCTCAGCCAGGCCTGTCTGAATGGCAGTAGAGAGGCGACTGACCCCTGGGTGACCAGAAGGTGGACATGGCAGCACTTGGTGATTGCTGACAAAAAAAAATCCTCACTCCTGCCCTACTCTACAATAGATCTGAATTCAGAACATTCCAACGGGAGGCCAAATCCCTTCTCCAACACCTGGCCTGCTCCTAATAGGAAGAAAAAAGACGGGAAGTCCCATCTCCGTGCCCAGATGAAATGAGCTCTGCCAGTCCCTGTGGCTTGGGTTAAGGGACCTTGGTGCCTTGATTAAGGGACAGCTTCTAGATTTCTAGCAGAAGTCAGTGCCCTCACTGAAAGGGGAGCCCGGGAAGATGGGACCAGCCCAGGACCAGCCCAGGAGGTGGAGCAGGATGGGACCAGCCAGGCTGTGTGTAAGGTGCATGGAGATGTCCAGGAGAAACCACTGAGGCTCTGGGCAGAGCAGAAAGGTCTGGGCCGGCGGGAGAGGCCTGAGAGGCCTCAGCCATCCCCGCTCCTCCCCAGCTGAGGATGTTTTCAGGTAGCCTCTGCTTTCCTTGGGCAAGTGGCATGGTGGTCCCTCCAGTTCTAAGAGTGCCCCAAGGCAGCAGCCTTCATGGGGCAGTGTGTATTCTGGGCATCTGCACAGACTTTCCAAGTGGCACGTGGGCATGGAGAGTTTAAGGAACTTGATTTTTAGCTCTCCCTGTCGAGTGAGAGGTCAGCATTTTCTCCTCAGCTCCACATCCACACCCTGCCTCTCCTACCATGCAGGAGAAACGCCCTGGATCAGAACCCAAGCCACGGGGACTGGCAGAGCTCATTTCATCCGGGCACGGAGATGGGTCTTCCTGTCTTTTTCATTCCTATTAGGAGCAGACCTGGTGTTGGAGAAGGGATTTGGCCTCCTGTTGGAATATTCTGAATTCAGATCTATTATAGAGTAGGGCAGGAATGAGGACTTTTTGCTTTGTTTTGTTTTTTGTTTGCTTTGAATGAACAACTCTTTTGCCTTCTGTTTTCGGAGTAAGAGTCTTGTGGGATTGAGTGAAGAGCTCACTGGCAGAAAGACCAAAGGCTTCTTCACCCACCCATGCATCCATCATTCATCTAGAGTTCAGAAGTGGGGGTGATAGTCACGGAGATGGATATTGCCCCCTTAATTTGAACTGAAAGATGAAGACACACTTTTGGGGAAAAGGTGTCTGATTGGCTTCTTGGAGCAGCAGTGAGGGCTGGCTTTGCCAACTGCTTGTATGGTGGAGATTTCCCATAAGTCAGATGAATTGAGTCTATGGCTCCAACGTTTTGTCAAAAATGTGGCCGGGCGTGGTGCCTCATGCCTGTAATCCCAACATTTTGGGAGGCTGAGGTGGATGGATCACCTGAAGTCAAGAGTTCAAGACCAATCTGGCCAATATGGTGAAACCCCATCTTTACTAAAAAAAAAATACAAAAATTAGCCTGGCATGATGGCACATGCCTATAATCCCAGCTACTCAGGAGGCTGAGGCAGGAGAATTGCTTGAACCCAGGAGGCAGAGGTTGCAGTGAGCCAAGATTGTGCCACTGCACTCCAGCCTGGGTGACAGAGTGAGACTCTGTCTCTCTCTCTCTCTTTCTCTCTCTCTATGTGTGTGTATATATGAATCATATGACAAGAGCTTTTAACAATAGTTTGGGGGAAAGGTGTAATGAAATTAACAGCATTCAACTTTTCCAATTCTTTCTGCAAATGTCTGGTTAAACAAGGTGCCTTTATTTAAGTGCAAGAGTGACAGGCATAATCACCAGCTCCTGGGTGACTCTTGGAAAACTCTTTTTGGTGCACTGTTATGTTGGACCCCTGTTGACTTCAGCAGGGGTGGCACCATGTTCCGGAGGACAGAGAATAAGGCATGGAGTTTATTGAGGTGACTTACGTACAGGGTGGTCCAGTGGTACTTGGCTGGGAAGAAGAACCACGGCTGCTTGTAAAAAGGAGGCAGCTTATGTAGCCTTTTCCCTTGGCACCCTACCTCCCCCCAGCAGCCTCCCCTGGCAACCCAAAACAAAGGGCCTCCATCTCCTGCACAGCCTGAGTTCCATGGGATGAACTTGGGGCTCAGATATTCCTCAGGTAAGGACTGAGTCTCTGGGCTGGCCACTCCCAGATTCTTCAGCGTGGAACTCCGAACACGCATTCTTCTCCATCCTGGGGTCGCTCTCAGGGTGTGCTTCAGTTACACTATTGCTGTCAGGTGTGTCTGCAATATGTGTACTTCCCCAGAAACTGAGAACATGAAGGACTCTGGAGACTGACTGACAAATCCCTGCATAAGCCAGGCGTTTCCAACACATTGAAGAAAATCCTAACCAAGTTATCCACTGACTGATCAAAAAAACAATTTAGATCAAACTTGTCCAGCCCACAACTCATGGGCCACATGCAGCCCGGGATGGCTTTGAATGCAGCCCAACACAAATTTGTAAACTTTCTTTAAATATGAGGTTTTTTGTGATTTTTTTTTTTTTTAGCCCACCAGCTAATGTTAATGTTAATGTATTTTATGAATGACCCAAGACAATTCTTCTTTCAATGTGGCCCAGGGAAGTCAAAAGATTGGACTCCCTGATTTAGATGAGGGAGCATCATTATGTGACTTTTTGGGCCATATGTCTTCTATGACATTCAGAGAATTAAGTGCCCTCCCTCCCTTCCTTCCTTCCTTTCTTTGTCTTCCTCTGTCGCCCAGGCTAAAGTGCAGTGGCAGGATCTCAGCTCACTGCAACCTTTACCTCCTGGGTTCAAATGATTCTCATGCTTCAGCCACCCGAGTAGCTGGGATTACAGGTGCGCACCATAAGGCCCAGCTAATTTTTGTATTTTTAGTAGAGATGGGGTTTCACTGTATTGCCCAGGCTGGTGTCAAACTCTTGACCTCAAATGATCCACCCGCCCTCAGCCTCCTAAAGTGCTGGGATTATAGCTGTGAGCCACTGCGCCTGGCCCAACATAATATATTTTTGATGAGTGCTTTGGTAATGAGAACTCAATCCGAAAGTATGTTTTATAAGCCCATAGAACCTTGAAGTTACAGGAAATTAATTTCAACTTACGTAAGTATCTTCGTTAGAGAAAGTAACAATGGGATAGCAGTGAAATACTTTTCTTTTTTTTGAGACAGTCTCACTCTGTCACCCAGGCTGGAGGTCAGCGGCACAGCCACCACTCACTGCAGCCTCGACCTCCCAGGTGTAATCAGTCCTCCTACCCCAGCCTCCCAACTAGCTGGGACCACAGGCACGAACCACCATGCCTGGCTAATTTTTGTGTTTCTTTGTAGAGACCAGATTTTGCCATGCTGCCCAGGGAAGCAAATACTTTTAAACATAAAAATATATATTAGATTAGGATAAAGTTCTGAGGGAAGGATGGAATGGAAATGTACATAGAGAGAAAAGCACAGAGGAAAAAAACAAAGCAAATCTGTCAATTGTTAAAGAGCTCATTCTAGGATTTTTTTTTTTTTTTGTCAGAGTCTCGCTCTTTAACCAGGCTGGAGTAGAGTGGTGTGATCTCAGCTCACTGCAATCTCTACCTCCTGGGTTCAAGCAATTCCCCTGCCTCAGCCTCCTGGGTAGCTGGGACTACAGACGTGAGCCACCATGCCTGGCTAATTTTTACATTTTTTTTATAGAGATAAGATCTCGCTATGCTGCCTGGGCTGATCTTGAACTCCTGGCCTCAAGCAATCCACCATGCATAGCCACCACAAAGGTTTAAGGCTTCCGTGAGTCCAGAAAATGTGAAGATCATGATTCCAAGGATACCTCTTTAAAAGCAAACCAGAGCAGGAGGAGGTAATTTTCCCAGCCTCTGTAATTTAGGACTGTAATTTGCACTGGTTTGTTTCAAGGCACGTGGAAGTGATGTTTGCTGTTGGTTGAGGGTCTGCCAAGAGGACATCCCCTAAGTGCAGTTTAGAGGTCAAGGTCAGCCCTCTCTGGCCAGGCCAGGCTCTCTGGCAGCACTAACCATGGCTGGCCTCTGGCCTCCAGGCAGGCAGCAGGCCAAAGGGGCGGAGCCAGGCCAGGTGCCGCCTCCAGGGTGGAGCTCACAGAGGCTCCATTTCTTCTAAGGTTGGGTTGGTTCCTCTTCCTGCAATGGAAGGCTGGGGGACAGGGTGGTGAGACATTGCTGCTTCCAAGGGGTAGATGGGCACATGTTGGGAGGGTCACCAATAAAGGCCATACACATCCCCAAAATCTGCCTCTGCAATGACACCAACAGCCACTAATGGTAGTTATTATAGTGTGCTTACGCTGTGCCAGGCACTGGCCTCAAGTGCCTTTTGTATACTGCACTATGTTAGTGAATCCTCAAGCAGACTTATGAATTAGGAATGATTAGAATCCCAGGCAGCCTCACTCAAAGCCATGTCATGTGTGGGAAACTGGTGTCAACACAGACATTCTTGACTCTCAAGGGTCTATGCGAGAACTTACTCTTCAAGGCACTACACCTCTCTGATCCTCAGTTTTCCCATCTGCAAAATGGGTTCATAAGAGCTGCCTTATCAGACCTTTGGGTTCTAGAGGCTTCCAGGCAGTGGCAGCTGCTTTTCACCCAGGAGGGACTTTGCCATCATCAGGAAAGTTTGTACCAGATTTAGGAGGTTGAAATCTTAAAGTGTCAGATAAGGAAACAGGGAGAACAAAACTCTCTTCTTTGGTGGGCTTTCTGGCTGGTTCTGTTTGGACCACTCTCTGGCATTTTCCACACCTTGGCTCCCACTTGGAGCCTGAACAACTTTTTCTCCCAAACCCCAAGTGCCATGGCACTTGCAGGAGGCCTGAGGCCATCTGGACAATTCTCAGGCTGCCCCCGTTAGACACTTCTGGTGAGTGGATGGGAGCTGGCGTAGGGAAGTCAGGGTGTGGTTGAGTTGGACCCTGGGACCAGGGTCTCACGCTGCAAAATCACTTGCTGTGTGATCCCAGGCAGTTGGCTTACCCTCTTGGAGCCTCATTTCTTCACTCACCCGTGCCCATTGGTGCCACTCAGCAGGGCTGGGTGCTAGAGACTCAGGGATGAGTCAGACAGGCCCATCCCTCCAGGCCTGCCAGTTTCATGGGAGAGGCAGAAAAGGAAACAGGGTGATCCCTTCTGCCTGGGAGAAGTAGAGCCTCTGGGCTATCAGGAGGACTTCTTGGAGGAGGGGAAGCCTGGGTGCCATTTTCCTCTTCCATTAATTGAAAGGGTCATAATAACTAACATTTTTTATTTCAGAGTTTAAAGTCATTTTGAACTATTATTATAAAAGTAACACATGCTCAAGGTGAGAACTTTCAAGAGAACAGAAAGGTATTAAGTGAAGAATCTCATTCCCTGCCCATCCCCAGAAGGAATTAATTGCTATTCACAGTTTCTCAGGAAGTCTTCTAGAAATGTTCTGTGTATATGGAAACATGTGGAACAAACATCAAAAGCCAAAATAAATAATAAAATCTCCCATTTGAGTGTCTGCTAGGGGCCCCTCACCCATTCTGCTTGCTTTTCCATGTAGTGATAGACCTTGGACATGTTTCTAGGTCCATGATCAACTTTTCAAGGTACTGCAAGAGAAGCCTGGAGCATTTTAGGGGCAAGTGTTCAGCCACCTTCATCTAAACAGGCTCAGCCTCCCAAAGTACTGGGGTTACAGGCGTGAGCCACCATGCCTGGCCTTTCATTTCGTTTTATGTCTGAATAAAAAGAAATGAAATAACATGTAATATTCCATCACCCGGAGTTATGTTCACTGTTGCTTATACTGGATGTATCACGATTTATTTACTCATTCGTTGATGGACATCTGGGCTGCTTTTGCCTTGGGCTATTGTGAATAGCGCTGGGCCCACAGGTCCCTCCTCCCTTCGAAACCTCCCTGTGGTTGGGCCATAGTCGCGTCTGTTTTCAGATGGGGAAACTGGGGCTCAGAAGGCACAGCAGGGTTCTGAGGCTGCTCGGTGACCAAAGGCAGGTCCGTGCCGTGAAGGACCCCATGGGGCTCTGGAGCCAGAAGGAGGCCAGGCTGTCCTCGGAGCCCCGGTTTCCGGAAGCAAACAGGATTAAATATATCCCAGGCAGGCAGGAGGCGGGTGTTGAAAGCACAGGCTTAACCAAAAAGTGCAGGACAAAGGGCAGCCCCGCCCTCCACCCCGCTGGCTCTGGGGACAGCTGCACTGACCGGTCTCGTGGGATTCTGGCTGGCAGCTGGTGTTCCCACCCACCCAGGACTCCCCGCAGGGCGAGGCCTGGCCCCGCAGTGTGTCATCCGTGCGCAGGTTGCCACTCTGACCTGGTGACCCCACTCCGGAAATCGGGGTCATGGTGATGGGCAGAAACGCCAACAAACAAGGGCTCTGCCATGTGGTCTCCGGTCCACCCAGCAGGAGAGCCACTGTGGCTGCTTTGACTGTCACCGACTGTGTGGCCTGAGCTTGGGCAAGTCACTCGGCCTTTCTTCCTTTTGCATTTTTTTCAATTTTAATTGACGTTAAACTCATAAAATGTAAGCTTAGCCATTTTAAAGCGAGCAGTTCAGTGGCATTTAGTATATTCACAATTCTGTGCAACCCCCAGCTCTATCTAGTTCACATTTCATCATCCAAAAAGGAGACCCCAAAACCTATTAAACAGCCTCTCCCCACACCCTCCCTTCCCCATTCCCTGGCAACCACTAATCTATTTCTGTTTCTGTGGACTTCCCTATTCTGGACATTTCGTATAAAAGGAAGCATACAACATGTGGGCTTTTCTGATTGGCTTTTTTCACTTAGCATAATGTTTTCAAGGTTCACCCGTTTTGTAGCATAGGTCAGTATTCCATTCCTCTTCAAGTTTTTGGAGACAAGAGTCTTGCTCTGTCACCAGGGTGGAGTGCACTGGTACAACCTTGGCTCATTGCAACCTCTGACTCCTAGGCTCAAAGGAGCCTCCTGCCTCAGCAGGAGGGACTACAGGGACATACCACCATGCCTGGCTAATTTTCATATTTTTTGTAGAGGCAGGGTTTCGCCATGTTGCCCAGGCTGGTCATGAATTCCTGGCCTCCTCCTGCCTCAGCCTCCCAAAGTGCTGGGATTACAGGCATGAGCCACCATGCCTGGCCTTTCATTTCTTTTTATGACCGAATAATGGTTCCTTATATTGGATATATCATGATTTATTTACTCATTCGTTGATGGACATTCGGGCTGCTTTTGCTTTGGGCTATTGTGAATCATGCTGCTATGACGCTCGACCTCTCCCAGCCTCAGTTCTCACATCTGTAGAATGGGGATACTCAAAGTACCTCCGTCACAGAGCTTTGGGGAGGATTAAATGAGATAGTTGCAAAGCCCTTACCTGGCGCACGGTGAGTTCTGCGTTCCCTTTGTGGTGTCTGTCGGGCGTTTACTGTACAACCTCACGTTTCCAGTGCTCCTGTGTCCTGCTTAAAGCACTTTACCTGTCGTGACTCACTAATGCCAATGCTTTGGTATATCCCTTGATTCCTCCAGCAACACGCTGAGGTAGGCCTGCTGTCCTCAGTTTCGCTTACAGAAAGCCAAGGCCCACAGAGGTCAGTGAAGGCTTTGCCTGCAGAAGCAGAATCGGTTCCCAGGCCCACCTGCTCCTGGGCCTGTGCTCGCAACACGTCTGCCGGTCTGCGCTGGTCCGGGAGTTTACATGGGGCGTTTACCTGTTTACAGTTTACGCCATGGTGTCCCTGGGCTGGGAACTAAGGGGGACTTTCACTTTCTCTTTCACCCTGGCCTCTCAGTGTTCCACATTTCCATAACTGTTTGATTTGTTTTCACAATGAGCGCATATTCATTTTGTAATCAGAAAGCAACAGTAAACATAACTCCAGGTGATGGCTTATTACATGTTAAACAGGAAGAACCCAACACAAAATTCTGTGTACAGCTTGGTCCCAACCGGGTGAAAATGGCACAGAAAAACAGCCAGAGGACCGTTCACCAACACAGCCCTAGCGTTCGTCTCTGGCGGGGAGCTGGGTGGGGCGATTTTGTGATTTTTTTCATAGAATTTTGGTATCTTCTTAGCTTTTCCAATCTTGTTTTTATTGTGAATAAATGCTGCTTTTAAATACAGAAAGAAAGGGATTCTCGGGAGAAAAAGGTGTTTCTGGCCCACACCCGGGGGTGTTCACGCTTTGGGCCCGGGGGGCAGGAGAACCTGCCCTGCTCACGTCAGGGAACTCAGGCCGAAGCTGTCAGGCGGGATGTGCCTGCACCTCTAGACAAGCCCGGAGATTGCTGGCCTGATGCTGCTGTGTGTCACCCATCCCCACCCCAGGACACAGAGAGGACATTTCAACCTCAGGACCTCCAGTACAGCCCTACCCAAACGCTGTCCCCGTACTGCCCCACTCAGCCCGGCCCCTGGGCCTTGTTCCTGAACTGCCTTGCCCCTGGAATCTCCTTCACCTCCGGGGGTGCGGTTTCCAAATCTTCGCCATCAGGCCCAATTTGCGGGGCCCAGCGGAGCATTAAAGAGAGCCAGCCGGGAGTAACGCAGTGTTTGTCCACACCCTGTCTCCCTGCCCCAGGTGGCCGTCACCACCCAGCCCCACCTAGAGGCACCCCGCCTGTCCTCACCACCACGGTGGTCCTGGATTCCAGAAGAGGACCTGACACACAGCAGGTGCTTAACACGTTCTGAATGGATGGCTATGGCTACTATCCCTACTCTAGAATGGAGACATCTGAGGCCCAGAGAGGCAAAGCAACTTGTCTAAGGCCACACAGCCAGGAAGAGGTTGGGCCATGGCAATCGGTCAGGGTCACACCAGCAGTCTCAACCCCGGTGCAGCCGTCTGTGCTCTGGGGTCCAGTTTCCACCAGGAGTGGCTCCCTGGGGAAGGTCTGGGCAGCAGCGCTTGGACTGTGGCTCCAAACGGTCAGCGTTCTGATTCAGTTCTGTCACTGACCAGCAGTGTGACCTTGGGCAAGTTCCCCAGCCCCTTTGTGCCCGTGTCCCCACTGCCAGCAGCCTGCTTGTGAGGAGTAAGTGAACCACTCCTGGTCCAGAGTACACATGATATATACTGGTTGAATAAAACTGAGTTTCTGCGGGAGGTCGGCTGAGCTGCTGGGTAGAGTGGGGAGCCCTGGTTCATCATGGCAGAGGCTGCTGGGTTCTGGGCTGGCCTAAGCCTCCTGGCTTCCTTTCTGGCTCGGGTGTGGCCATCAAGCACCCCCACGCCGACCAGACCTCTCTGGAGTTCCCTTTCCCTCTGCCTGGCACATGCTCCAGTCTGCTGTCCCCATCCCCACACCTGCCCTGGCTTCAAGTGACCCCCCCTTACCTAAGAAAAGGGGACACAGTCTCCCCTACCCTGCCCATCCCCACCTCCCATGAGGCTGGGGACCTCTCCTGTAGTCAGGATGCCCAGAAAGGCAGAGAGACAGCGACATCCGCATTGATGTAGTGAGCACAGCGGAGGTCCGGCTGCATCTGGGGGCATCCAGGAGCTGCCTGGAGCGGGGCCTCTTTGGCAGGGTGTGACAGATGGGTGGGAGTCAGAAGATGACAAGGGAGAGGAGAAAGGCCCCGGCCAGCCATGGACAGAGGGGCACACACAGGCAGGGAGGCGGGGAGGGCAGAGGACGCTGCCTTTGACCCCACGGCCACCTCAGCTTTGGCAGGACACCCAGGGCAGGGTGCAGCAGTCCTGAGCAGCAGCTGCCAGGAAGGCAGATTGCAGTGGGATGGACCCTGGCAGGATGGCACGTGCTCAGTGGGCAGCTGGAACAGTGGGGCCGAGTGTGCTGACTGGGCTGAACCCTGGCCTCCCTGGAGCTGTTACTCCTGCCCTGACATCCAGGCCACACAGCAAGTTTGTCATTCACTCATGCCCCAGCATGAGTGAAAGCCCCGTCCATGTCCAGCTGTCCTAACACAGCCTCACCCAGGAACTAGGCCCAGATTTACATGGGCTAGATCTGCCTCATACTGTGAGGAGGTGCCTGGCTGAGGTGTGCCTCCGTTTCCCCATCTGTCAAAGCAGATAAGAATTCCTACCTCCCAGAGCTCTCAAGAGCATCAAGTGAGATAATATTGGAGAATTAGAGAAAGCTCATTTTAACACTGAGGCTCACCAGCACAGGGTTGCTGCTGTTACTATAACAATAGTTATTTAACATAATTACTATGTTATTATTAAGACTGACACATGGGGGGCTGCCGGATTCCATGGGAGGAGCCAGAGACATCACAACTCAAATTCCATCCTCTTTCTGAGTCGCTATGGATCTGGGAAATCACTTCTCCAACTCAGTCTCCCAATCTGTAAATATTTCAGAGGGGCGAGCGCTTGGGCTCTGTGTTGGCCAAGGTCAGCCTGGGAGGGTGGGACCGGCAGCAGGGTCATCTCCCAAGCCAGGGTCGGCGTCCTCTCGGACCAAGGCCAAGTCACCGCTCTGGCCTCCTGACGGCGCCCCTGCCCTGGGCTGACCCCTCTCCTGCCCTTCACACCCAGCCAGCCTCAGTGCGCACTCCCACGGCCCTTCGCCTGCGCGTGAACCCATGCTGTTTACGAGGCCTTCCGCCCAAATGGTGCCCTCATCCGCTTTGACAAACAACGCTATTCAGTTGCGGCTGTAGGTGGCTCCTGTGCGGGGCCCACAGGAGCCGCAGGTCAGTGGAGACAGATGGACAGCTGCGCCACCAGATGGAGCTCAGGGTGGGGAGGGTGTTGGGCCAGGCTTTCCTGAGGAGTGGCCCTCCGCTGGACCTTGGAGGGGTCCTGTGGCCTCAGCCCCTGTCCTTGTGCCACGTCTCAGGTCCAGATTCATTGCTGGCTCCCCAGCATCTAACAGGTGCCTTGGGAGGCCCTAGTGTTCAGTGAGTGCCATGGAGTGAATGCAGGAGTCCAAGAACAAAGTGAAGTCGGGAAGATTTCATTGTCTCCATAGCAGGCCCCGGAATTCTTTGCAGGGAGAGAACTTAACCTTGGGCAATCACCCAGTCGAGCGTCTTAGGTGTCAAGGGAGGCGTCAGGAAGCGTTTGCTGTCTGAGTGGTGGACAGTCCCCCTGGCCACCTGTGCTTCTTGGCTCAGGTCCCCTTCCTAGGCCTTTTTCTCTGCCAGGAGCTGGGCGGGCTGTCCCCAGTCTGGGCAGCGCAGGGGCAGGGCGGTCTCCATGCAAGCCCTTGCTGTGCTCTGTGGCCTCCGGCCATCCACTGACCCTCCCTTGGCCTTGCTTTTTCCATCTGTGAGAGGACAGTCTGCCCAGATCTGTGCCCAGGAGGCACGGGGTGGAGAACTCAGCAGACAGCAAGGCTGGTGCACGCTCAGGGCCATACCCTGGGCTTGGCTCTCCGGAGGCCCCCACCCCCCGCTGCGTTAGTAGGGTGGCTCCCTTTTTATTCGCACTTCTGAGCACCCTGGTGCTAGTCATGCTGGCCACTGGCAATGTCTTTAATTATCCCCATACCTTGGTGCGGCTCTGTCTGTTTAAATGGACTCATTAAAGCCCCGTAAAACAAAGTCACAATGAGCCATGTCAGAGATGAGGAGAGAGGACTTCCCGGAGGCCCTCCCGACTCACACTGGCGCCTGGGAGGGAGGATGCCCGCTCCGGGGCCAGCTGGGCTGTGCTTGCCAGGAAGGCCTGGCAGGGCCTGAGGTCGCTAAGGAGGATCTGTAGCGGGAAGCGGGGAGGGTGTGAATGAGAAACAGAGAGACAGAGGAAGATGGAAAGCGAGAGATGGAAATGGAAAGGACCATAGACCCAGCGACAGAGACAGAGACCGAGAGCGTGGGGAGGAGGGAGGCCACAAGGGAAGACGGGTGGAGAGGGGCAGTGTCCTACAGGCGTCTGGACTGAGCGGTTCTGCCTGGAGGCCGAG